TTGCGTAGTTGTTCTTGGACGTACTGTTTGGTCGCTTCTAACTCCTCTACGTTCTGCTTGTACAGTGGACTGTAGCTGTTCGGTAGCGGTTCCTCCAGGATGATCTTATGATCGTACGGTCGATGCTCCGGGAGTTCTTCCGCTGCAGTCTTACTGAATACATCCCGATAATGGTAATATCGGGATGGTAAACGTTCTTGGAGCAGACGGGCGTTTTCGGGGTCGTCCTGTAGGTTTCTCTTTTTCTCCTCCAGCACTCGCTCGATTTCGTACAAGCTGGTGGTGAAAAACTCGTTTTGTTTCTGTTTCATTTTGAAGTGAAAAGCATTTGCGGAAATAAGAGCAATTTGAAAAGTAGGTTGTGTTCGCGGATTGTCGGGCGCAGGTCGGATAGGTTTCGGAGTAGGTTTTGCAACCTCTGTTGCAACAGGAACCTTCCAAAACTTAGGAGCCCGAATCAGTCCACGAATCCTGTTGATAGTCTGGGACGGACTGTTACCCTCCCAATACTCCTCCTGTTCCCATAGCTTGTCTCGACGCTTGATATCCAAGGCAACACCATCAGAGTGCACGGGTTGGTTCAGCGTCATGATGATGGGCGGGGCGGGATCGTACGTAGCAGGGTGCTTGTCTGACCAGATAAGCCGAGACCGATCCATATCGAGCTTGAGCTTAAAGCGCTTCAGCCATTTGATACCAATTATACAGTCTTGAGATCCGAGGTCTACGATCACAAAGGGGCAGTTGAGTATCTTTCTACCGTCGATAATCATATGGAGTCGGATATATTGTGACACTGGCGAGATGATCTGGTCCTGGAAACCTTTGACCCGAACCGTAAAAGGTAGCTTTCGGATAGGAGTCCAAAGGGCGGTAGAAACAGAGTGTACAATAGAAGAATTCAAGAATAGGAAACCTTGGGCACCCGTGTCGACTAAGGAGTGGAGTCGGACACCTAATCCCTCGTGACAGAGCACGGTGGAAGCAAGGAAATGGGGTCCACCAAACAAATGAGACAAGGAGAGATTGGAGAGGTCATATTGGTTTAGGCCCGAGTGGAGTGATCCCCT